GTCTCTTAGGAATCCAAACTAGTCATAATTTTTTTTTTTTTGAGGATTTTCTTCATATTAATAAGCTTGTATTAATTTTTTTATGAATATTTGTTTGTCAATTCCAAATCAGATAAACCTCCTTAATCGACTGCAGCTTCTTTCTTTGGTCTAATGCGTGGTTTCCTGTTTTGCTTTAACACTTACCTTCTTCTGTTTTGGTAGTCTTATGAGGGCAAAACTTAACTAGTTAAATATGTCCACACATTCTTGAAATATAAAAAGTGTAATTATTTTAATTAAGCGGTTTATTATTTCTTCTTTTTATTGTTTTCTGCATCGTATACACACATACAAGTCATAATCAACAATTTACTTTGAGTTATAACTACTCATATATTATAAAATATATAAATAATTAATTATATAAATATTAAATACATAAATATCAGTTGTCAATCAGTGACAGAATTCTGGACCCAAATATAAAAAAAAATAATCCGATATACTCCTTAATATTAACTATCACTCAATCTGCGAATGTTTATGATTTCAAATTTCTATATTTAACGTTTAAATTTACAGGGGTTTACGGTCCAATTAGACATAAAATTAAAAACTAGGAATACAAGAAATTTGCTACTCTTTACAAATCAATTATACTAAAGGTACGTTCTCGCAATGTCTTTAAGTATAATTTCTGTCAGCGGTAATAATTTCAATTCTGTTGGGAGAGTAGGATTTAGTTATCAATTTCAAGTTTGTATGTCACACGTTGGTAAAAACATCTTGAGAACGCCTAAAAGAAGTTTCACTTGTTACGCTTTTCTTAAAATGCACCTTAAGAGTTCCTGAAAAACGTAACAAGTCAAATTTACGCGTTTCAGTAGACTTGGCCAAAAGCAGTTCAAGGTAGTACATTGCCCTAGTATTTTGTTTACGCTTTCAGTCGCCTACAAAATAGTATGTGCAACAAAAATAGAACTATATTTATAGTTTTCGGATTTGTCCAAACAACAACATATCTTTCACCGTAATATACTATTACCAGTCGATATGTCTATGTTACTATTTCTATATAGTGTGTTTATAAAATAATGCATAAATTCGATAAAGTCTAGAAAATTGTTTTGAGAAAACCACTCAGACATGCCGATTTTTAGTTCTCACTTTTTATAACAATTCTATATAACGTCGTCTCTGATGGTAGTCACTTTTATGTTATATTTTCAAGAAACATGCATATCGTACCATTTCCTTCACATTTTTGACTTTGTTTCAAAATTTGAAATCTATGTCTACCATTCAGTATTAAAAAAAAAAACACCTGCTTAATTCAAAAGTGCAAGGTAGTATAGGGACTAGGGTGGCCCAAAAAAAAAAAAAACGATTTTTTTTTCGTGTCTTGTTAGTTTATCATGTTTTAAGAGCCCCCTCAAAAAATCAGCTCAAAAAAAATTTTTTAGAGGTCGCTCAAGATTTTTAAAAATTTCCAAAATCGTCAAAAATTGAATTTATTTTTGTTTTATTTTTTTTCTCGCTAGTTTATCATTTTCTAGGTTGAAAAAAATCTCTATTCTGAAAATTTCAAATCGATATTTTAATTTCTAAAGGTCACTCATAATTATTTTAACTTTCAAAGTAGTGTACCTAAAATGTTTTTGGGCGACCTCTACAAATAAATATCAACGAACTATAATTTTTTTTATTGAATTTGATAAACAAAAGAATAGAAATAAATCACGAAACACTTAAATTTTAAAAAATTATAAATATTTGATACTCAGTGCGGTAATTTTTGCCTCGAGAAATTTTTTAAGTCAATAAGTTCTCGCTGTTTTTCAATAGATGGCGTTGCCAGAAGCACACAGAATTCTTGTTGAGCAAACTGCAAACAATATGCAGAGATCGGTTTAGACGCTTTAAAAATACTAATTTTGATGTTGAAGATAAAGAAAGCTCTGACATACCGAAACAGTTTGAAGGTGAAGAATTGGAGGCGTTTCATCATGAATACTCATGTTAGACGCTAGCTCAACTTGCAAAATCATTAGGACACAACAGTTTCGAAACATTTGAAAGCATTCAAAAGCGAGGACGCTGGACGCCGTACGAGTTGAAGCCGAGAGATGTCAAACGGCATCCCTGCAAGTGTGAACAGCTGTTTCAACAGCAGAAAAGGAAAGGTTTTTTGCATCGTATCGTGTCTGTGGATGAAAAATGGATACGCTACGATAATCTTAAGTGTAGAAAATTGTGGGGGTAGCTGAACATCAGTTATGGGAGTGTCCACCGGTTTGTGACTGATGACTTGAAAATGCGTAAAGGCCTGCTAGATGGTTTCTCCGTCTGTTATCGGAGGAGCAGAAGCAACATAGATTGGAGATTTTGCAGCGACACTTTAATCGATTCCAGCAAGAGGGTGAAGCCTTTTTGAATCGCATAGTCATCTATGAGGAAACTTGGGTGCATCACTACACGCCCGACTCGAAGTAGGCAAGTATGGAGTGGAGAAAAAGTGGCGAGAGGGGACTGGTGAAGGCAAAGACGCGCTTGTCAGCCGGAAAGGTAATGGCAACAGTATTTTTTTACCGTTTTCACGTTGACTTTCTCCGTGATCGACGCACGATTAATGCACAATATTATTGTGAATTACTGGATGCCGCCAAATTGTCATTTCGAAGGAAAAAGGAAGAAGTAATCGGTAAGAAGTGGAACTAGTGACGGGTAGTTCGCGAACGAACGAGTTAAAACGAACAATTCTTCATAGTGAACTAAAAGAACTAGTTCCCTATTCCAAAACAAAGTAGTTCGCACGAACTATTTGTGACGATTTTGACCAATCTTATGTTTCGGTCTGTCGAAGCATGAAGCAGCGCACAGCGCATTCATTTCGTTCATTCATTACGTCTGCTCAACGAAACAGCTTAGTGTATAATGATTCGGATCGAACTGAAATAGTTCGCGAACTAAAACAAACAATTTTTCAATACATACGTACAATTGCGATGCGGACATGAGAAGGCAGGCGCACGGAATATAAAAGAGCATCTATAATTCCTAGGATAAGAGGTTTTAAAGTTAGAAAATCGAAAACCTTGCCAGCCATTCCTAGGAAAAAAAGTCTAATGAACATATTTTGTAAGAAATTCCAGCGACAAAACAGTTTATTACACTTTAGATTCTTAATACTGTGCATATAAACAAAAGCAGAAGATGTACTTTAGATCGTTTTGTCTGATTGGATGAATATTTACGAAAAACCTATTATACATTAGACTATTTTGCCTTAATTTAGATACATTAGATTTTTTTGACTTTAGAAGTAAATGAAAAAGCTTGTTATTAAAAAACACGCAACAGCTATTAGATTCAGCGCTAATGTAAAACAATGCAACCCGTTCGTAAATATTACTAATTTGAAATGATTAATTTTTAAAACGCAGTGGTACATTTGCTAGCTTATTTCAGTACTCTGCCGTCTAAATGTAAACGAATCTGCATGCACATTTGATCGAGACTGAACGATCGCAATCGCGCCTAGCAACGGGAGAACAAGAGATGCTTTTGCTAGTGACTCACGTCGTCGAATATCTAAAGTAGTTCGCGAACTAGATTTAAGAACTAGTTCATTTGGAGCAAGTAGTTCTCGAGAACTAGTTCTCCGAAATGAATTATTATGCCCATCACTAATGACAACGCCAGGCCTCATGCGACCAATGCCACAAGGCAAAAACTGGATGTATTAGGCTGGGAAACGCTGGAACATCCGCCGACTTGCCCCCTTGCGATTTTCATCTTTTTGGACCCCTCAAAGAAGCGCTTGGAGGCCAACGTTTCGACGACAACGACGCGGTGGAAGCAATTGTGCTCTAGTTGCTATAACAACGTCCGAAGAGTTTCTATGATGGAATTAAAAAGCTCTCAACCCGATGGGAAAAATGCATTTCAAGGACGGGCGACTATGTAGAAAAATAATATGTCTCTAGGCTTAATTAAACAAAATTATAATTTTTTACAAAACGAATCCCGTTTATATTTGATACACCCTCGTAAATTGTCGATAACGTCATAGATTTTGTTTGGGTCACCGTAAATAATTGTATGAAATCTTATAAAAAAGGGCAATTAACGATAAAATTCGATGCCTTTTTCCCAAAATCAGTATCAGTTTTTTCCTGATGAAATATGGGCCAAGTAGACTGATAAGTGTAAATTTTTATGTACCGTTTATACATTGTGCTTGGATTTAAAAAAATAATTCATTTCAATTTTCAAAAATGTACAAAATTGCTTTTCAATTATGGAACTTTTAAAACCTGTTGGCCCAAAAAAAAATGAATTTTTTTTTCGTATCTTGTGAAAATATGTTAGTTTATCATATTTTAAGATCCCCTGCAAAAAATCAGCTCAAAAAAATTTTTTTTAGAGGTCTCAAGATTTTTAAAAATTTCCAAAATCGTCAAAAATTAATTAAAAAAATTTTTTTTTTCGTTATTTTATCATTGTCTAGGTTGAAAAAAATCTCGATTCTGAAAATTTCAAATCGATAAATATCAATGAACTAATAATTTTTTTTTTATTGGATTTGATGAACAAAAGAAATAAATCACGACACTTAAAAAATTTCTCGAGGCAAAATTTACTACCGCAGTGAGTATCAAATATTTAGAACATTTTAATTTTTTAGAATTTAAGGGTCGTGATTTATTTCTATTCTTTTGTTCATCAAATTCAATAAAAAAAATTATTACTTCATTGATATTTATTTTTAGAGGTCGCTCAAAAAGATAGGTGCACTATTTTGGAAGAAAATAATTATATGTCCTTTAGAAATTAAAATATCAATTTGAAATTTTCAGAACCGAGATTTTTTTCAACCTAGAAAATGATAAAATAATGAGAAAACAATACAATTTTTGACAGTTTTGGAAATTTTTTAAAATCTTGAGCGACCTCTAAACATTTTTTTTTTGAGCTGATTTTTTGAGAGGCTCTTAAAACATGATAAACTAACATATTTTCACAAGACACGAAAAAAAATTCGTTTTTTTTTTGGGCCACCCTACCACTGTTTACATTGAATAGATGAAACATCGTTTTACATAATAATTTTAAATTGAATTATAATAGTCTATATATTTATTACAATTTAGACGAAACGTTCCTAAAAATCGTGTTTTTTAGCTTGTCCTTTATGTCGCAAAAGTATAACAAAAATATTACTACAAAGATAAAAAGATACAATACGTGGAACTACCTACTTAGAATACCATATAAAACTTGTAAAAATAATTTAATTGCAAATCGTCAAGCATAAACTGAGTGACATATACGTAACATGGATACTTGTTCTTTTGAGTATTAATGAAAAGATGATGAGCATGAATAATGGTTACTGCATTACATAATAAATATAGGACTAGGTGATATATAATATAGACGTAATCGAGTTATTGATACTACCTTGGGGAAAATATATTTATTGAATTTGTATTTGTGCGCTTCCTTATTAGTCGCCCACAAACTGAAAAAAAAAAAATGGAAAAAAACTTTAATATCCACATCATAACCAGTTCAAACATTTTTAAATTAATCGAAGAGAAAAACTTACTTGCTGAATCTTGCGGCGTCAAAGGCCTGTCTATCACTCTTCCTATGACCTCGATCCAGTGATCCCTATCGTGTTCAGACTGAGCCGATAAATTGTACGTTCTATCGGGGGTCGTTAGCGAAAAGGAAAATCCTTGGTCTTTTACACCGGCAGATACACCTATGCGTATACTGTATCCGTCCAGAGAATGACCTGAAATATATAGTTTATTCTGTTTGTTAGATGTTAGATTTAGTTGAAATTAAATATCGCTGATCATGGTGATGATTGTTTCTATTTTATTCAGTCAATTAAAATAATTAAAGAAGACACAAATCTTTCATATAGCCCCAAAAAATAAAGTCTAACATCGACTAAATCGATGTCGCGTATTCAAAAAAGTTACAATATCTCGTAAATGAGGCTCCAAATCAAAATCTTATAAGAGTGAAAAAACAGAAAACGCCGTTTTATCTAAAAAAAATATTCGGAAAGCATAGGAGTACTCAAAAAAAAATAGGGGGTCCATGGGTACTGTAACCCCCCCCTCTCCCCACCGTTCGCGCTTTGATATTTTAAACTAAAATTACACAAAAAGTGTGTCGACTTAAGAATAAAATATGTGCTAAATTTCAAATAAATATCTCTATAATCACTGGAGTTATCAATAAATACCATTTTCTAAATTTTAATTTTAACACCCTGTATTTTGAAAATGGGGCTCCGAATTGAAAAGTGACACGAGAAAAGTCCCCATTATTTTAGTCCAAAGAATACGTGATTAACGGGTTGACCTACTAATTTGTAACACCCTGTATATCAGTTCCTCATATTTTACGATATTTTTAGCAATTTCTTTATTTTTTATGAAACCATCCTAGGGAGGCAGTGAAACAAAAGAAATGTTTGTGACTTGTCAATAGTTTTTCTCGTCATTAGCTCTGACTGTTGAAGTAGTGTTTTACTGTGATTTAAATAGTTATTCTTAATTAATTAATATTGTTTGTACGGTTTTGTTCTTACTTGTTCGTAATGAATTTCTCAAGAGAAGAAGTCAAGCCTGTCTTGATGAAATTTATCCTAATAGATAGATTAGTCGAGGTGGGCCATTGTCATGGCCTCCTAGATCATATGACCTTACACCACTTGACTTTTTTTTGTGGGGGTTTGTAAAAGACAGGGTATATGCTGGAGAGCCACCAACTACTCGTGATGATATGATAAATAGAACAAGACAAGCTTGTCTTAATATTACACCAAATGTGGTGCATGACATCTTTCGCCGAATTAACTTGTGTATTTGAGAAGGTGGAAATATTTTTGAACATCTATTGTAAGACTTAATAAAGCTTTGTTTTATCAGTAAATATATACAGGTCTGCTCATATTTTTATTTCCGATACCAAGTTAGTAAACTATATAAATATTTTACCAGTCTTCCCTAATAATTATGACTCCGCCCCCATATCATTTGTATAACTTTATGCTATAGATATAAGGGAATAAAAAAGAAGTGCGCAAAACCTGCGATTCTAAGCTCTCCCTGACTATTAATTTATTGTATCTGTCTTGCATTAGGAATTTGGGAACAATGTATGTCTAAGATACGTACATACGGAAGAAAGAATACTGGACAGTAATTATGTTTTTGATTTATTGCGATAGCATAAAGAGTATAAGCCACGACCTGAAATTGATAGCAGTGTTGCCATACGTACAATAATTACCCTATTTGTACGATAATTTTTTACAAGAATGATAAGAGGTTTTGAGACGATACTAAAACATTCCAACTTTATTACAAATTATTTATAACCTTTAGTAAAAACTAAAACGGTATTCTAAAATAAAATGAGTGGTAATTCTTAAGCAAAATAATGAATTATTTTCAAATGCTTATTAAATAAAGCTTATTATTAATTAATAAGGTGTTCAAACAAACCACCTGCTTGAGCTTCACAATACCCTAATCTGACGTAAAATTCTTGACGAACATTTGACAAAATTTCAGGAGTAACTGATTCTGAAATATTTCTAATTTTAAGCTGTAATTCGTCCAAATTTGCAGCTCTTTCGTGTCGATGTATGTAGAGAAGTTGCGTTAAATTACCCCATAGAAAGAAGTCGCAGGGTGTCAGATCTGGAGATCGAGGAGGCAAAGATATGGAAATAAGCCTTTCAAGAAAAGTTGGTTCCAAATAATCTTGAACTGGCCTTACGTTGTGTGCAGGACATCCGTCTTACTGAAACCAAATTTCCTCAAAACTTACATCCAACTGTACATTTCGTACAGCTGGTACACTATTTTGTAATAAATTCAAATATCTCTTAGCATTTAAGTTACCACAATAAAAAAGGGACCTACAATATTATCACCTAAAATGCCAGCTCAAAGATTTACCTTATGAGGGTACAGCGTTCTTAATGGTATACTTAAATGCTTGTTTTCCCGGGACCAATATTGGACCACTGAAGGATTATTACGGCCAAGTAGGGAAAAAGATGATGCGTCTGTAAATAAAATCTGCCTAGCAAATTCATTATTTTCATACACCTTATTTGATCGCCAGGAATAATTTGTTGAGAAGTTTGCATTTTATAGGCTTTGTAACCATTCTTTTTTAAGATGCGACGAACTGTACTGTACTGAATGTCAAGTTCTTCGAAAATTTAGGAGGAAGAACTTGACACTTACTTCCACAAAAGCACAGACATTAACCTCTTTTTCTCTCCTTGCTTCAGGAATTTGAAGAAGTTCCTGATTGCTACATTTTGTACACCGATTAACACATCCACACTTCTTAAACTTATGAAAAATATTCAAAACAGTTCTAGCAGTTGGGACTGTTTCGTCGGGGTATGAAAATATAAATCGACCAACAACTTCCTCTGCACTTTCTCACGACAATACCATTTAATAATATTAATTTTTTGTTCGACACTGTACACCATTTTTATTTTGTAATATTGTCTACCTCTTACCAACGGTTTGAGTGGAATAATAATAAAAATAAAACTAAACAAACAGCAAAGCGCTTTAGCAGGGTTCATAGTTCAAAAATAATAAAGAATTCCCTGATTTTTCCAGGTTTTCCCTGACTTATAAGAAAAAAATCCAGGTCACTTTTAGTTCATTTTTACATATTAATTAGCATTTATGCATTAAATTTTTTCTCGACTGGACTCTACAATTTTTCATACTCTAACAACATGATTATGTTAAGTCTGAACCCTTCCACCCAAAGTTGACAGGGGAGATGCATGTAATTTACTTAGTCTATGCGAAAGAATTACCTGGCCAGATCTGTACTTTGCTATCATATAACAAATATACTAAAAATTCAATAAGAATAAGAAAGCTGCATAATTTACGATCATTGTTCTTTTCTGCAAAAAGTAAAGATACGTTTTAAGCAATACTTGTTTGTTTCAACTCTTTAGCCCTAGTATGCGCTATTTATAAAATATGAAAAATAAAGAAACTGCAAAAAATATCGTAAAATATGAGGAACCGATATATAACACCTATTATGAAAGTTGTAGATTTTGAGGTCTTTCACATTCCATTAAAAAATACAGGGTGTTCTATTTGAAAGAAACAAAATTTTTACCTTTGAAAAAAATAACATTTGTTATGATTTTGTGAACACCCTGTATGACATTTATAAACAGTGACTACTTCAGAATTTATGGTGAATATAGTACAAGTGTGACGATTGCTTAGATTGTATCTCAAAAAACGAGTATATCAGTTACGATCAAGTGTAACGTCAAAAATGTCATTTTTTATATTAAAATATTAATAACTTGAAAACGGCTGATTTTTGGCACACAATACCTATTACGAAAAAGTTGCATAATTCCATGTAAAATATAAATATCCACTCAAATACAGGGTGCTCCATTTAAAAAAATAAAACTTTGGTCAGTCCTCCGAAAACTAATCACCCTGTACAAGTCAAATTATTTTTAAAATGTGACCTCCCCCCACCCGAACCTATTTTGAAATATTTTGTCTCAATTATATTTTAGGGATAAATCAATTTTGCCACAGCGTTGACCCTGTATAATTTTCAGTTTATATTTCAAGTAAAGTACTCACCTATAAATATTTCACCTTTAGGATAAGCATCGAGCGGTTCATCGTGATACATTAGTTTCCTGTTATCTAACGTGAACCACCTTTTCTTAAAGCCGTCACTAATTTTAGGACCGGTTTTCCATAGCCAACCTTCCTTTGCAAAATCCTCAGTCAAAAGATTCACCAAATCGCATTCACTCGCCGAAGGATACGCGACTTGTAATCTGTGTAATTTGGCGCACCGCACAGCCATATACCAATTTGTGATTATTTCCCCTTCTTCGTGGTAGACGTAAATGTGTCGGGTAGTACCGTCTTTCAGAAACGTAAGCTGTAACGAATTTGGGTATCCTATCTTGTCGGGGGCAAAAACTACGTTCAATTCGGATATCCGAAGTACAGCTTTCGGTTCTTTGTTTTCTCTAACGAAATATTTTAGCGTGTCGTCCATTTCGGAGAGGACGAACTTTCGAGCTTGGTATTTGCTGTCCTCTTTGCCCCTTTTCATAAGAAAACCCTGCATGTAACCGCTGGTGTAGGTTTGCCTCTCTGGATAGCAAAATTCTTCTCTTTGGTACTTTGCTCTTATCCACTGTTCTATTAACACTCTGAAACAAAAAATTAGTACAGTAGAAGTCTCTAATACCGACCACTCTAAGGAATCAAAAGTTGGTCACTAAAGAGTGGTGATCGTTTAAAAAAGAATACAGTAGAAACCCGATTATCCGTGTACGGATTGTCCGGGGTGCGGATTATCCGTGATATGTCTAGGAATTTGTTTGTGGTGACGAGTAATTTTGTGTTTTTGTTCAGTAAATAACATCATGTGTTGTGGCTAATGCTTCTATCTGCATGCAGAGGTTGCAAATATTCTATTGGCCTATTTTGAGTAAGTCTACATTTTAAACTTACGTAAAATACGTCAGAAAATAGATAAAAACAGAAAAGTTCAGAAAATCACCATATTTTGGGTTCCCCTACATGCCCTTGCTGTGTCTGTTCTTATGCGGAACACCCTATGTATACATATATGGGGCATTCCACGCCAAATCGACTACTTTTAACCCTGACCCCCTTCGATTTGGCTGAAACTTTTTTATTGTTTTCTACTCCATTGAAAACCTCTGAGAATTTTTTCACCCAACTTAAAAAAAGTTTTTTTCTTTGAAAATAACCATAACCTTTTCAAAAATTGAGTTATCGGGACGTTTTTTTTTTTAAATTTTGTTTTTAAATGTACTTTTTGAAAAAAAAATAGATCAAAATTATCTGGACCTGTTGTTTTTTTTAATTTTCGAAAAAAAAACGAGTTTCTCGATTACCATTTTTGAAAAAAAAAATTGATTTATAAAAAATGTCAGCTTTTTATAAGAAAATTTTTGAAAATGTATATAGAAAATTGAAAACGTATATTGAAAAATGTATATTGAAAATGTATATTGAAAAAAAAAATGGATATTGAAAATTGAAAAAAAAATATATGAAANACATATATGGGGCATTCCACGCCAAATCGACTACTTTTAACCCTGACCCCCTTCGATTTGGCTGAAACTTTTTTATTGTTTTCTACTCCATTGAAGACCTCTGAGAATTTTTTCACCCAACTTAAAAAAAGCTTTTTTCTTTGAAAATAACCATAACTTTTTCAAAAATTGAGTTATCGGGACGTTTTTTTTTTAAAATGTTTGTTTTTAAATGTACTTTTTGAAAAAAAAATAGATCAAAATTATCTGGACCTGTTGTTTTTTTTAATTTTCGAAAAAAAACGAGTTTTTCGATTACCATTTTTGAAAAAAAAAAAATTGATTTATAAAAAATGTCAGCTTTTTATAAGAAAATTTTTGAAAATGTATATAGAAAATTGAAAACGTATATTGAAAAATGTATATTGAAAATGTATATTGAAAAAAAAAATGGATATTGAAAATTGAAAAAAAAATATATGAAAGAAATAATTGAGTGTAAACATGAAAATAATTTCGATTTTTTTTTGAAAAAGTTAAGAAAAAAATAGAAGATCGTTTTGAATAACTTTTTTGTATTTTTTTCAAAAACTACATTAAAAAACAAAGAAAATGAAAAAAAAAAGTTATTTGGTTCATTTTTGGACGAACAGTGGGCTTTAAAAAAAACATGCAAGACATTTGAACTCAAATAAATCATTTTGAAACCACCTTCTTTTGATTTTTTGAAATTGTCATCAATCGCTGCATAGAAAAAAGTCTCTTAAACATTTACAGGCTTCTAATAGGTTTGATATATTTGATAATGAAATACTTTCAGCTTCCTCATTTTCAGTTTCAGAATCGGAAGTAGTGCTACTTGTTTCTCTGATCACAGTATTGTATTTTTGTCACTTTATATGCCAAGTTGAATACGGTCACTTCAGCCACTATTTCTCAAAAAATAAAATATTCATGTAAATGAGATAGAACTATGTATTTCAATATTTTTATGCATTTTTTTCCAATTTAATTAATATAAGAAAAAACTATCCCAAACATTTCGATGTATTCTGATTTTTTTAGTGACTGTAAAGGCCCATCATTTTAGTTACATCTTTTAGCTTGGATTAGTACATGAAAATAGTTTATCAAATTTTCAGAATAAATATCAAATTTAGATATTGAGATTCTTTAGTTCTCATCATTAAATTAGAAAATATTCGAAAATAAGTCTGTGAAGCATCATTTATCAATTTTTTAATTTAATTTTATTTAATTTTACTTTTTCATTGTGGCAAAATATAAAAAAGAACTACTAACTAAATGCCATATTTGCTCTTTAAAATATAAACAAAATTAAATCCTCAGTGACCAACATTAATGAAAACTATTTTTCTGCATAGACAAATTTTTTCCAATATCAACTTCGTATCAAAAGTATTTAAAAACTTGCTGATTGCAATAAGTTGCCTGGACAAATTGTTAATTAAAACATGCTCTAATTTTTTAGAGATAACATTTTACATTTATGTTTATTTATCTAAATGTCAACTGAACAATTTGTTGGCTATGCTATTTGCTATTAAATATATCTAATAAAATGATAAGGAATGACTGGTTAATAAATAGGTTGGAACAGTTTTTTTAATTTCTATTTCCAAGTCAGAAATTGCATAGCCAAGTATGAAACTGGCATTTCAATACTGCAAAGGTTATTAATGAACATTATAACAAGAAGAAATAATGTAAGGTTTGTAATATTTTTTTGTCTGGAAAAAAGTAACAACCTATATGGGAAAGAAAAATTTAATATTCTGAAACAGGACTGTAAATTGTTAAATATTTCTTTCGACTACTGTTTCACGGTTTTAAATGATACATTCTTTATACAACAAAACAACTACATTAATTATAACTATACTGATTTATTAGAGAGAATAAGTAGATTTTTTAAATTTCCGTCTTATAACCTAATCTTCCCGTAAGATGTCCTCAGCACATAATCATTCAAGATTATGATTATAGATTTTTAGAAATCAGTCATAGTATATCCTTTCCAAGTAACAAATACAAAATTTAAAGTACCAGAATACACAAACTCAATGATATTTCTAAATTAGTGTTTCTAACACTAAGAAATTTTATTTAACGAAAGTTTGTCTTATTTAGTTTATGGTTTGTGGTATAATTATTTTATTTCTACATTTATTTGTAATATTTTCGCTACATTTTATCTATTTGAGCAAATATAGATAAATAAATAAATAAAAATAAAATTTGACCGATTGCACTGGACTTACTGAGGATCGTCTTCTTTAGGCCTTCTATAACACGGGGGCACTCTTTCTTCATATTTCAGTTTTGCTTTCGTATTTCCCACTTCCTTCATTCTTTGAACCTGGGAATCCTCCCATCTGTCTAATTTTAAATGCTTTACTTTACTTATGTGAACTCCCATACTGCGGTGAACACCCGAACATCTTGTACAAATAAATATGCCAATGTTGTAAGAAGCCCACTCTGGGTCTGTAATAAAAGTACATTAAAAGTTGATAGATTAAGAAACATTAACGGAAATAATTTTATTAAAATATTGACAATAAACCCCGTAGATGTGAATTTTCCTGAAAACTAAAAATAAGGAATTCTACAGTCCAACTTATGTATTTGAAGCATGTAATAAATATTGCATTCTAATCTAATTTACTAAGAAACGTTTTTATAGATACAAATTTGAGTTATACAAGTAGGGTCAATTTATCAAAAATAAAGTAAGCCAAATATTCTTGAAAATGAGTTATTATATTTAGGTACACATATTTAAAAGGAAAACTTTGTCGACACAATATTATACATTATTTTCTTCGGAACTCAAAAATACAATACAATATATACAAAACATTTCAGAAATATTTTATCAGCAGTAAATCATTAGTAATAGAAGAAAAAAAAATCATAGTTTTGTATGGTTAAAGCTAATTCATGTTAGTGTTTGATTCTGATTATGAATAAAAATAAAATATCCTAACAATTTTTTTAAGACAAAATATAATGTATAAAAGATTACTTCCTGATCAGTGATCATACTTTAGTTTTCTTATATATCCGTAGTCTTCTAACCAACTTTTTAATTAATTAAATACCCAAATAAATAAATTTGTCGGAATGAATTGAAATTAATTAATGTGTTAAATGATTTCTATTAAATCGGAAATTAGAACACATAAATTATATTTTGTATGAAAAAAATAAAAGGATTACGAAATTATCTACGTATATACAACTTTGTTTACTTCCATGGAGCATGGGTGGCATGCTTTTTAAAACGGATACCATAATTAAGTAAATTTTATAATAAAATCACTTACTTCGTGCTCCGCAGTCGGCACATACATTATTTCCGGTATATTTTAATAATTCACTTAAACATTTTTCATTTCTATCAGCCATTTTATGGCGAAAATATTATCTTAACACAAACACAAACAACATCTACCATTTTTAAAGACGAATATTTCGTTATAATTCGTTTCGTCTCGTTTAATTTTTGATATCGAAGGGCAGTGTTCCGTTCCGATATAGAGCGTCTTCTACTACCATAGAAAGGTAAACCTAATCGCCATTATTCCATGGCTAGAAATTGGCCTCAATGATTTGGGATCGAGGCGGATTATCCCTCTTTATCCTGCCTCATCTCGTGTAAAACCTACTGGAAAACGATCGAAATCAAAGGGCTATAATTGGTTGAATTGTTAATGATTTTGAACAAATTGAGTGTGATACCATTGGTATCGTCACTTCAAATCATTCGCAATTCGCATTGATGTGGTGATGCGAACGAAATTATTCTTATACCGGTATACGTATGATTCCCGGTATGTGTGCACATTCTCGTGCGAGCGGTCGAACTGAGCGGACGTGTTTATTGTGAAGTGAAGTGCATTGCATCGAGCAAGATCTACCTGCCTTTATTAAGGCTACCTGGAAAGAATCCCTTTCTTTCCTCTTAANCACAAACACAAACAACATCTACCATTTTTAAAGACGAATATTTCGTTATAATTCGTTTCGTCTCGTTTAATTTTTGATATCGAAGGGCAGTGTTCCGATATAGAGCGTCTTCTACTACCATAGTAAGGTAAACCTAATCGCCAATATTCCATGGCTAGAAATTGGCCTCAATTATTTGGGATCGAGGCGGATTATCCCTCTTTATCCTGCCTCATCTCGTGTAAAACCTACTGGAAAACGATCGAAATCAAAGGGCTATAATTGACTGACTGTCAATCTACTTGGCTTTTAGTATGAGCACTTTCCTCGATTCTTAACATTATTGTGTGTAGCGTCCAATTATTGTTGTACCGATTTGGTTGGGTTGGGTGAGTTGGATGTTAAATCGAACATTCTGTAGGGTTTAGATTTAGGTGCTTTCGTTTTGACAAAGAAAGGAAAGCAGCTATTAGATTGGTAACTCAGAGCATCAAACCTGTGGTATATTCAATCTGATAAAAATATTGCAGAGTTTGTCACTCAAAACTCAAGATTGTTCCCCTTTTCCTCTTGACGTAGCTACCAAATTTTTAGTGTTTTGAAAACCCTAAAATATCGACGGCAAAAGTTGTTAGGCAAAAAGTATTATTATTTTTCACTAAACCTAAAATAACTTATATAGTATCTTAGTAAAGAGAATATCGTGGATGTTATTTCACCATCAACACGTGACAGAACATTGGTTGTTTTGAGCTAGACATGACAATCCCCTCCTCAGGCGCGCCGCGCCATTATTCTATGGCTAGAAATTGGCCTCAATGATTTGGGATCGAGGGGGATTATCCCTCTTTATCCTGCCTCATCTCGTGTAGGCCTGGACAGCCTTCGTAGGTGGGCCCCATCCGTCGTCTACCCCGACCGCAAATGCGGCCGGTGTAGGCGCTTTGTGGGACCTCCTTTTGTCCTGGCTGGGCCCCGCCGGCTAGGGCCCTTTCTTCTGGCGCTCTTCTTGCTTCGCCGGCTCGTCTGTGTAAACCCCGGGGGTAGTGTCATGTTTATGTGTGGTATGGTTGGGTAGGGTAGTGCGGCTATGCAGCCTGGGATGCGCTTTGCTAAGG